AGGGATTTAACTGCTTCTATTGTATTTGTCCATTTTGTTCGCTGAACATAAATAATCATTTTTCAAAAGAAAAATTATCTAGCAAAATGTGCATTTGGTTATGTAATGTTGTAGACAAGTAATTATTTCGTGTTCGAATAAGAGTTAAAGTATCACAATTTTTTCCAGCCAATTAAACACAATACAGATACCAAATGCTCACTTCGTAGTTTATCCCAATTTCATGTCGATCATTTAAAAATAGTTTTCCAAGCGAATCAGTAACCATATTAGTAAGTTTTTACTAGAGGGTAACTAACAATCATATTAGGTATCTGATTATTTGGAGATTTCTGTGTGAATTACTCTGTTATCGGTCGTCAACACTCTTCTTTAAAGTAGCTTAGGCATAATGTGTATGCAACAAATCTTAAAGGCCAATAATTAGATTATAACCTCGTACAACCTCACTTATCTTATATTTCTTTTTTAAATAAACTAAACAGAGAAATATATCTTACTGTTTAAGTCATAATGAGTAACAAATCATTTGAGAATCTGAGGTATTATTCTTATAAGAGATAACAGTGCAAATCTTACAGATATGTGTTGTATATATAATGTCTACACTTATTGTATAATTAGTAGACACATGGGTCACCATATCTTTATGTTTCTATTTGTGCGATTTCATTTGATACATAAACTATTCTTATATGTATTTACTTTGAGTCTTTAATTCATCACAGACCCATTGTCTAGTTTATCTGTTTTATGGCATAGTTATACGTACAATGTAATCTTCTATTTATGTTGATATGTCCAAAAATTACTATCATAATAGCAACCACACGATAGAGATCTTATCTCCTTTGTCGTCTTACAGGAATGAAGATAGGGGATAGAAGGCGTGCTCCTGATTCAATCGACCCTTATATTATCTCAATTACAGCTCAAGCTTGATTGTTGCCACTCAAAGAGTGTTCAGTGTTGTTTTAAGTATTAAGATGAGAAAAACCATATCTACTTTTGTTGAGATAAAAGTTTACATTCACGAACCGCTGACGACCAGATGTTTTAATTGGTCACTCTAGTTTCTAGGTTTTCGACGATCTATATCTATCTATCTATCTATATCTATATCTACATATATTTTAGTCTCTTGGTTTAAGGGAAGACAGGGAGTGTATACACCGACGCCATTGTGATCGATTCTGAGCCATGTCACCAAGAGTCTCCAACCATTGGTTACGAAAGTCACGCGGACCCCAACCAAGTAGTCTGCATCTACCAACATGGCTCAGACTAGAAGTTAGTGACTTCAAGCACTGATGCCACGTTTTGGTTTGGCCGCCCCTAACTTTCTTCCAACCATCCCCTACCCCGGTTAGCATTGCACGTCGCGGTAATCGGTGTTCAGGCATACGTAATACGTGGCCCAACCATCTCAGTCGATGAAGGTTCATAACCTCATCAACTGATTTACCATCATTACCTAATACCCTGCGTCTAACCTCACTATTACTTACCCGGTGATCCCAGCAGATACCAGCAATATTTCTAAGGCATCTGTGGTCAAATGCTAGTAGCTTACGGGTGTCTTCTACTCTTAAGGGCCATGTTTCGCTGCCGTAAAGTAAGACAGAACGGACTGCCGCGCAGTATACTCGTCCTTTTATTGATAGACGGATATCTCGCCTTCGCCAAAGGTGACGTAAATTGGCAAAAGCCAAACGAGCTTTTCGAATCCGTGCTGAGATTTCGTCAGACACCAACCCATTAGGGCTGATCAGACTTCCAAGATAAGTGAAGTTGTCAACGCGTTCGACTACTTCACTCCCTATCCTTAGTTCAGGTGTTGACGGAGACCAGTCCTGAAGCAACAACTTGCATTTAGAGGGAGAGAAGCGCATCCCAAACATTCTGGCATTGTTGCTTAGTGCTACCAGAAGACTCTGCATTTTGTCAGCGTCTTCACCAAACAGGACTATGTCATCTGCGTATTCTAAGTCGATAAGTGGACCTCCTGGAAGGAGATCAATACCCGAGAATTCAGTCGACGAGAGTGTTATTTCCATCAATAGGTCTATGATGAAGTTAAACAGAAATGGAGAAAGTGGACAGCCTTGACGGACACCACTTGAGGTTGCAAAAGTAGATGACAGTTCGCCATAAGCTCTGACTCGACTAGTAGTGTTCGAGTAAAGAGCCTTCACAAGGTTTATGTACTTCTGAGGTACGCCTTTCAATGACAGACACTGCCACAGAGTCTCGCGGTCTACCGAGTCAAATGCTGCTTTTAAGTCAAGAAATACCACCATCGTCGGACGCCGATAGGTATGCCTGTGTTCTAGAACCTGACGAATGGTGAATATGTGGTCGATGCAGCCACGACCAGGTCTAAAGCCAGCTTGGTTCTCTCGAGTTTGTAGTTCACGAGTCTTAGTTAGGCGTTTGATAATTATCGAGGCTAGTATTTTAGATACTATGTTTGTTAAACTAATCCCTCTGTGGTTGTCACAGGATGATTTTGACCCTTTCTTATATATTGGGACGATAAGTGATTGCGACCAGTCAGATGGGATAAAGTCTAATTCCCAGATCTTAGCTAAAATATTAGTCAACTTAATCGCTAAAATTGGACCACCATCCTTAAAGACCTCTGGAGCCAATCCATCTGGACCAGCTGCCCTTCCTCGTTTCAGATTAACTATAGCCTTTTGAACTTCAGCAAGAGTCGGGGGACCTACTTCAATGTTCCATTCACACTGTCTGGGAATGGAGGGTAGTTGTAGAGTAGCTGAAGGCCAGCTGAACTGTTCCCTAAAGTGTTCCGCCCATCGTTCTAAACGCCTGGACTTGGAGCAGATGAGTGTATCGTCTTTTTCCGATATAATCTCACTTACACTTGACTTATTAATTCCAGTTTCTTTTATTAGTCTGTAAAGCTGTCTTGTGTTCCCTATAGTCGCCGCTTTTTCCATCTCTTTTGCTTTCGATGCCCACCACTGCTCACGGTCGTTTCTTAGGCTTTTTCTTAACCTAGATCTGATTTGTTTTCGCTCTTCATCATGTTCAGAACCTGATGGGACGAGTTTGCGAGAATCCATCAGTGTGACAGACCTTGAAGAAATCCACTGGTTCCTTGCAACTCTGTGGTTTAAGTCACTAATAGATGTCACTGCTGTTTCCACAGCTGATTGTATGCCCTTCCAAGCAACATCTGGGTCAGCCTCGTCTTCACAACTACCTAAGTGTGACCTCAGTTGTTCTTGGAACCTACTTTTGGTTTCTTTCTACGAACTAATTCTTTCTTCCTATACTATATCCTTATTGCAACCTTTGACCTAACCACTCCTATGAATCCGCTGTTCATCTTGCTGTGCTAATGAGGTATGGCAACCTGGACCGATGCACATATGTGCCTGGTCCTACGTTGTAGCTGACTGACGGACTGACTACATATATATATATATATATATATATATATATATATATATATTGAAAACAACAGTGCATCTTTTTTCAAGGAAGAAACAGAAATTAGTTTTACCAACTCAAAATAAGATGTTCATTTGTTTTGTTGATAATTTCCCTGATTAATTATTACTTCGTCTATAATACTTTGAAAAAGGGGTGGATGTGTTTTCTAATTATTTGTTGTTCTTTCGCTTTTTTCTTTGAAATTATATGACACTTTACGGGGACCAAAAAGGCTTGGAATTTTTCGAAGCCTCGGCCAAAGAAAATATTAACGTAAAGAATGTATTTGATCGTCTTGTTGATATTATATGCGATAAAATGTCTGATAATATAGATAATAACCCAGGTGCGGTTGGTGGGACATCGAAAGGTGAGTTTTGTGGGAAAATACATGTTTACAATAATTAGATGCTTGCCAGAAATGATTAAATCATATCTTGTTATTGAAACTTTTATTTATTCTGATGACGTGGCTGTATAGTACTAACGGTCGGTCACCCAGTCTTGGAAGACACATTACCTGGTCCTGATGTGTATCATTTCTTGTTACTAAACTGAACTGACATCTTCAACCATAGTTTAGGTTTATTTCATGAATATTGGGCTGACTTTGACGTGACATTCTTAACAAAGTCTTAAACACGTAAGAAGTTGGTGGTTTTATGATTTCGTCAGCTTACCCACCATTATTTAATAGTTAAGACCTTTAAATTTCAGCCACTAAGTTCTGAGTGCGCACCTCACTCCATCTACTTTGGTTTGGACAACCGGGTAATATAGTCGGTCCTCACACACCGAGAGTGTGGCTCATACCCAACACTTGATGAATAAGTTAATGCTTGGTTGACTGATGCGCTACCGCTTCATCTATCTCTATGTGAACATCAGGTACTAGTTCAACGCCACGACCTTGCTTGTCTCATGTTAATGTGTGTGGGTATGATTTTTGATTGGGTAAACTTCCAAATACTGTACAGTGGAAGCAAAAGAAGCCCGGTTATTTTTTTAGAGGTTTAGCACCCCACTTAACACATCAGTCAATAGATCTATGTACAACCCCAAGGTCAGAGATCAAGCCAGAGGTGAAAACGATAGAGACGAATATGCAGCACAATAACAGATAACTGTTAACTAGGTTCTAGGTCAACAAAACAAGCAGCTAGTCAGTTGAGAAGAAATCTTAGTAGCTCCTTATGGAGTTGTGTATCGATGATATCAAGAAGGATAATGAAAGCATCACAATAACATCATCCAGCTCAAAAACACTGAAATAGTAATATTAATTAAAGTCGTTTGTTGAGCCTTATCCGGTCAAGAAAAAGATAAGAATGATATGCAGAACCAATCAGAAGTAGTCGAATGAAAAGTTCAGTCGATGTCAATCAGAAGTGACCTAGGTGGCGAGTACATTTCATTGTCTATGAAATGGGTCAATTTCCTGAGGATAGTGTGGTATATATGTATGAATGAGTATTTGTGCACTTTATTCGGTAGCCCAATACATTTTCTCACTCAATCTTATGTTCCCGCCCAAGTAGTCATTTGGGGGCTTAGCACATCGTTTATCAATATCGGATTTTGGACACTGCCCGTCAAAACAGTTTCTGGCGAAGTTATTTTTGTCAAACTTACGCAATGTTATCAGATCAGCTTAAATCTATTTTTCAGCAGCAGCAAAAAAGGAATTTCAAACATCGCAATTGAAAATGATCAAACTTACTGCACAAAAATGATTAATTCAAGAAAATTCGGTAGAAGTTTTTAAATTAAAAGCCTTAACTACCGTATCACTGACCAAATCAATGAGGGAGTTTTGTTTTGATATCTCCGGTCACAATCAGGATGCTGCAATTTCCCGTGAATACGGTTGTTATTTCGTATCCATACAACTTCTGTATGTAGGAGACGCGTTTGAAACCCACTAGTAAAAGTTAATGTTTTATGATTAATAACTGAATAATTTGGTTCTTTCTGCAAAATGACCGCTATCAACCTGGTGAAGTAGAAGAGAGCTTCATAATTTCTGTTTTCCTAGTTTGAATACGCTTGGGAATTCGTTCCTCGTCTCCTTTTCCATATGTTCAAACTTTTCTACTTCCATCGATAGTTTTATTACATCTACACTGTTATTTATTTTGATAAATTCTTCTCTTTGTTTTGCGACGACTTGACATATATATCTGTAATAAGCTCTACGTTACTTCTGATTATCTGACATTGTTTACTACCACACCATTTAATTGGCTTTTCTTCATCTCCAAACATTTACTTTGTAAACTACACTCTTGCATATTGCTATCATAAACTTTATTTTTTTTTGTACTCAATAAAATTAGGTAATCGATTGACCGATAAACCTCAACAGCAACAACAAAATCAACAGGGCCAATGTCAATGCTAAACGCTTACATAAACACAGAAGAAAAAGGATAAAAGCTAGTCGCGCGTCATAACAAATACATATTAATTTGCACGTATTTTTGCTTTCATTAAATGTGAAAATTAACTTGATTTTGTTGAAACCGGGTCAAACATTAAGATAAGTATTTGATGTTATTCAATGAAGTCGTTTTTCTCTTACCTTTATCATTTAACAGTCAATACTGGTATTTATCTTTATGAAGCGACGATGTTTTGTTACAACCACAGGAATTTATCTAGTATTAACAATATAAAGCGGAAATCAATCCTTATTTATAACTTCTTGATTTTCGGAAATGTCATTCACAAAATATATACTTCACCCATTACGTGCATATATAAATGCATATACACGAGCACTTTTTCAACTAAATAAAAATACGATGAAATGCATTTAATTCATACCTATATGAATACATGACTACTGATTCATTCCGTTGTTTTTTTTTCTTAAACATTAATGTTTCCTTTTATGCCTTACATTCTGTCGAATTGATTGTTCCACTTATGTTCTTTTTGATGTTTGTCAACCTCTTTCTTCATCCTATTCTTATCAAAACTATTCATCTATGCATATGATATATGTATCATATCTTCTCATGCCCACATATTCATCACGATTACTTGATTATTGTTTCTGCTCTCTGTATTGATTCTTTTTATCATTCTTTTACAATGACAATGGATGTGGCGAAAATTGTTTTTTTCTTGTTTTGTAGATTTGTTTCTGCGATCAGGTTCTTTTTAATTAGTGTTTGTATGTAACTAACAATGTAAAATCTCCTGATTTCAGTATCTCGTTTGTCTAATCAGTGATCACTCTTCAATAAAGTAGCGAGTGGTTGATACAATAAAGATAATGATACGTCATACATACTTTGTGATCTAGAAAAAGAGAAATTATTAGTGTGGCTGACGAAAATGAAAAGACATCTATTACACACTGATAAATAACTCAACTGTTCTCAATTTCACAGAATTAAAAGAATAATGGTTGCAACTACTCCGTTCTTACTTCATTATTTATGTGTCTGTTGTTTGTTTATTAGAAAATTTAGTTAAACTCCCATTTATTGCTGTTGTGTGCGTTTATGTATGTGGCAGATAAAAAGCTCATTCAACTTCTACTTATTCGAAAGATCATGCATATACGCATTTTTGTCTAACTTCCTTTAATCTATTATATTATTAGACTAAATAGCCGTGTGATCACTATAGATATTCGCATTCTGGTGCAACAACTCTTTTCATCTTTACTCTTACGAGCACAGTACACATTTTTCCTGTAATGTGATGTTCATAAGTTTCTTATCTATTGAGTTCCGTTTTATTCGTCCATATAAATCTTTATTTCATACTATTACATTATTTGCTGTTTTTATAATTTATCTGATCCGTGACCATTCCTATTATCTTGGAACACTTTTCATTTGCTTAACTTGGGTTTCTTCTGTCGAGGTTGTTACTCTCTTTCTTCCTTGACATTCCTATATACTTTTGTGATCGAGCTGATAGTGCTCGACCAAGAAATGAAAATTTATCAAAACCTAATGTTCTGTTTTCAATATCTCTGTGTTATTTCAGTTTTGATTTTTCTGTCATCTGTTTACTTGTTCAGATTTCTGTGAACGCTTCACTCTTTTCTCCTTATATGCACACAAGCAGTTAGTACAACTGCATATATATATATAAATATAAAGGAATGCATAATTAATCTTAGATAATATTTATCTTAAAAGTTTACTCTCGACAAAATGTGGAAAAGCGTATCTTAGTTAACTATTTATTTGCTTAATGTTCTGGTCTGCCTACTAGATATAGCACACACAATATATATATATATATATATATATATATATATATATATATATATATATATATATATATATATATATAATTCCTCTTGGTAATTGCTCCTTACAACTCGGTTCATTGTAAAATATTTTTGAGCATACGGATTGTATATTTGTAGTTTAAAATGGGTTGTTATTATTTATCAATGATCCGTTGTGCCTCTGCAACTGTGAACTACTTGTCTACTGATGACATTGTTGCTAGTTTCTCCACTGGGCTGTTTTTTATATAAAAAATTAGATTACAGAATAAAAATGCCTCGGCAGAAGAAATTTCCTCTCCGGTAATACCAATTATTCTGTCCAATCGTATTTATATTAAATAACACATCTGTTAGCCTATAATATAGTACGATGATTTTGCTTCATTTTACAAGATTATCAAAAATTAGTCTTAAAGGTAATAGAAAGTAATAAATTGAGAAACAAAACTAACAGGTGGTTGTTCACGGGGTTCATATGCAAGTGAAAAATAAGAGGATAATTGGCGTCCGTAATTAATAGCGTTGCCATGGTAAAATGAGAAATTGTACGCTCCTATTTTACTCAGATACAAAGGTTGAATTAGTAACTTCTTATAAATTCAGTCGTGCTCAAATCCCCAGACATACATAAACACGTACGTACATTATTACTATTTACTCACTCTTTACTGCTCTTTAGACAGTCCTGAGACCAGGAAGCGTTAATCTTCTCTATCCTAGGTTCTCCTCTCCAGTTTTTCCCATGTGCTACGCATTCCTTTCATGTCCGTCTCCCGTTTCCGGTGCATTGTGTTCTTCCTTCCGTTCGTTTTCTTCCAGTCTTGAGGACTCCAAGTCAGGACTTGTGATTCAGTTTGATCACTTGTGCAATCGGTATCCTACCCACCGCTAGTGTCTTTTCGTAATTTCCTCTTCAGCTGGAAGCCGGTTTGTTCTATGCCAAAACAGGTTATCTCTGATGGTGTCTGGGCAACGGATCTGAAGTATCTTGCGTGGACAGTTCTTTATAAGTCCATGCACATTTTTGGTGGTGCTTGTAGGAGTTCCGCAAGTTTCAGCTCCGTACATTAAAACTGTCTTGACGTTTGTGTTGAAAATGCTGACTGTGATGTCGGTTGACAGTTATTTTGGGTTTCATGTGTTCTTCAATTGTAGATATGCTGCCCTCCTCCTGGAGTGCTTCTATGATTACGACTGGTCATCGTCCCTGATAAAAAAGGAGTCTTACGTATGGGATTGGCAACCCTATTAGGTGGAACGACAACCTTGTTGAGAAACGCTTACCAGAGTTATTCGTGTACCCATGATAGTTTTAATATTATAAGAATAGAACGTGGTCAACAGGGTTCAAAAAGAAGAAAAGAGTACATGAAATTTGAAATGTCAAGGAAGATTGTTACCCAGAATTCAGGGAACTAAAGAGAATAAATACGTTTGTACCACGTTTCACAGCTTTCAACCTTATCATCCGGTCTCGGATCACTAATTTCATTTGTTGTTTTTATTTATAGTGATTTTTGGTTCTTCCGACTTTCGTTTAACTTTTTTTTCAGAATATTCCTATCCAGTTTTGCTCTTTCTATCACACCACATAACTTTTAGATTCTAGTCTTGTCTGTCGTACAGCGTTTAGGTTGATCTTTGGCTCGTTCACAGGTTTTAGATGCTTATTCACACTTTCTTTGTGTTTTCTTTAGAGAATATTTACAGTCGCAACCAAAAGTTTATTGTTACCTAGGATTTGTCTTCTTCCTGCTATAAGTATTAACAGTAAATCCATATAATACTTAATAGTCATATTTTATCAAATAATTTATACTACTTAATTTGCCAATACTCAAAGACCATCTTAACAGAATTAATGAAATAAAGAGTAATGTAGTGCCTCGTGCACTTGAATTTCTAAAAACAAAAACACCGAACAAAAGGATATATTTTGAGGTAGTTTACTCATTATCATTTCCGTTTAGAAAAAGACAAAATGTTTTAGAATATAAATTTGTTCATTAGTTGATGATAGTCATTACTATAGTGTATTGATCAGGAAACAGAAAATATAAGTAGAACAAATTATTTCCACGTCTCATTCACTTTAGGTTTTCGATCGTCTTGCTGTCCTCCATGTATTTTAAGTATTTTTTTTTGTTAATTTTATGGGGATTTTGAGAGTAGCACAGACATTCAACGTTATTCAAACAGGCAGGTAATTAGCCAAATAAAAACACTCAAAACTATCTTTTTGCCCATACAGACAACCCTTTATATATATATATATATATATATATATATATATTTCTGATTAGTTTAGTGCGTGACAGTAAACCTTTTATCAATAGTTCAGATAAACGTCATGAAAAAACCTGGACTTGCACATCATTTAAGAAACTGATTTACTAATATTGAAGGTTCGGTCTCTGCAATCTCCACTTGCATATAGTTAATGTACGTAGTCTACGAAGCGGTCAAAATTCCCTCATCTTGTGTTAAAATTAATTAAACCTTCTGAAAGTCATCCGAAATAAGAATTTCTTGTTCAGCGCCAGCCGTCTTAACTATTCACGCATCAACTGAAACACGTCAGGAACTGGAAGCTTGACAAATAGCGCTAGATGTTTTACTGAAGAAGTGAATAGACGATCCCTGGAATTGCATGTCACTGTATTTACTGATATTACATTATTTTAGGAACATAGTACGATCTTCAGAGAAGCGGGTAAGGCGGTAGCTTTTCAATGGACAAATACTCAAAACCGAACACAATGTTTGCACTGAAATAGTACAGTTTTAAAATTACGCTCTAATTAAATATTAGTACATTTATCTCTGCTAATATAATGAGTGACCTGTCCCCGAAATTGTAGATGTGTCATGATGTGACTATCTAACCTATAAGCTCTTACTCAGAAGTGACGTCATAGTCTACACTGACTCGTCCTACATGACAGTCAGTAATATGTTACCTAACACTTGAGAAGCACACATTTGGTCTGGGTAGGAAGGTATGTAGTCAATAAAAAGCATTAGGCTATACAGACGGCAACACTTGCATGGCTGATCCATGCCATTTTGACTCTTTGCTGCCGCCTTCACCATTACTGAA